GGCCAGAGGTTACCACCCTCGCCTCTGGCCTCATACCCGTCAACGGCAACTTGTAATCATGATCCCTACCCTGGCTCTGCCTAACTTTCCGACTGCGAAATATCGCAGCCGGCAGCCCTGTGGGAGCTGTTTTATGTACGGCAGGTACCGAGCACACCCTTTGTCTGCCCACGCGGGGCGTGCCCAGTAGTTATGTTTCCAGGCCAACGCCGAAGGGGGTCGGTGGCCGACGCTTCCTAATCGGCAAGCCACAGCAGACTTGTCAACCGGAAACCTGGAACATGAGAGTTGAAATAAATTATTCGAATCGAGACTTTTCAAGATTGCTGACTCCATTGTTAAGTTAAACATTCTCTATCGTCTTGGCCAGGTGTTAGCCTCATAGATGCTTTCATTTATTTTAGGAGACCGGAGATTATAGTACAGCCTATTTTTTTGGCCTATTGTTTAACTTCAAGGTAGAGCTATTTTTATCAACCACCACTTGTCTCCCACTAACATGGCCTTGATATTGGCGTCACCGAGTAAATGTGCTGTGTCCCCCATTACACACCCCTGCCTTGATTAGGAAAATGTTGTTTAATTAAGTTCGAATGCGTTCTATTTGTTCTAAAGAATGCTATCATGTGACGCTAATTATAGAATTTCTTTACTAGATAGTTCTGATTTAATCCCTATAAATAGGCCGAAAGGTTTCTTAGCACAGATAGAGAGAGAGAGAGAGAGAGAGAGAGAGAGAGAGAGAGAGAGAGAGAGAGAGAGAGAGAGAGAGAGAGAGAGAGAGAGAGAGAGAGAGAGAGAGAGAGAGAGAATATTAGCTATATTTCCTAACACTGAGACCAAGCGGTATAAATTGTGTCTGATAAATTAATGCTTGTATTCTCGAGGAATGTACCTTTTCCTCGCTGTGCTGTACTTTAAGTTGATATAGTGTTTTTTCCCTCTATTCGAGCTAAAATTTTTACATAAATTTAAATTTGATGATTAAATTGAATATTATTAGTCTTACTAGCTTTGTTATCATTTTCTTTGCACACTGTTCTTCTCGGTCCTTTATTATGTATTGTTGTTTCTACGCGCCAAATCTTGACACAGATTAAATCTTCAAAATCCTAACGGTACGTAACACAAGGCAACAATTTTCCCACTGCAGTTGGGACTTCTACTCTTACAAAGTTAAGTAATCATTTCAATCATGCGGTGCAAGACGAGTGCTCAATTAAAATTATTATGCTGAGCTACCGCTTCAACTGGTATTTGTCGCCATTGTAATCCAACCATTGACAAGTTCGTTCATCAGCTGAATAATACTCCACAAGTCACTGTTGTTGTGTGCTATTATGGTGCTGCTGTGATGCTATTGTGGGTAGTTCTGTTGTTTCCGCAAATCTAACATCGAACATCGTCGATCGATTTCCAAAACAGCCGTGTATTCTTTGTCTCAAATTAGCGATGATGACATTGACATCAACGATGCCATAAAAGGCGTCTTCTTCTTGCATTTAAAACCAAGAGCTGCGTTCATTGCTGTCATCTGCTTTACTTTTTTGGGAGGAGGAGTGCTCGTTCGTTTCCATTCAAAGCCATGAGTTCCACTGAGGGAAATCACCGGCTCAATGGGGTTAGCGCTGTTTCTATGCTAGTTCAGTCATTCCAATAGTGAATTTAATAGAGGAACAGCTGTGCCAAGGGCTATTGTTTCTGATCGAAGAGATTCAGTTTTCGTTTATTCTCTTCGGTAAATTTGTTCCAAAAAGATGTTAAAAATAGAAGTTAAAGTATTTACAGCAATTGTAATATTAAAATTATTCACAAAGCACCTGTTATGTTTGAAAGAAAAAATTTAAAAAAAAAAAACGTGTGACAGCTGCCAGGAGATGGTGAATGAATACAAAGGCCAAGGTTCAAAGATTTACCTTTTGGTGAGATCGTAGAAAAAAACAACAACCAACCTTTCATAATGCACTCTATTCAATTATATGTGATATTTATTTCCATGTTGTTTCATGGATTTAAATTACGACATGGCTCAGATCTCAACTGGTTACATTTACAGGTCAAAGTTTCTTATGTGTTATAGTGGTAGTCCGCTCATAAGCACCTGCGGAACGCTTTCCAACGGAATGATAATGATTTATCTTGCCTTGAACCTGATTGGTAGGTTGAGATGGAGCCATTTAGGCATATCATCTGAATCTCTAGACTTGACTGTTGGGAATGGTTGCGCTGAAAAGAGAACTGCTAACAGAAATAGAACAGAAAGCTAAAATTATGAAGATGCTATTCAACAGAATTGGGTCGCATTAATGAACTTTTCAGCATCCACGCAACCCCCCCCCCAAAAAAAAAACAAAACAACCCAAGTGACGTCATTGCTTGGTGGGATAGTACGAGAACCAGACAGACTTAACATTTGATTATCTGGCACCTCCTAACACTGTATTGACGGTCAATTACAAATCTGGCTATATACAAAAAAATATATTTTGAGGGCTATGCGTGGGTCCTTGGGGCAGTCACCCCGTGCGGCACCCCTTAGCGCGGCCCTGGTAAGGACAATTTCAATGTTTTAAAACCTAAATGTTGGCCACAGGCAAGGTGGACATTTTTTCACTTCAAAATAAAAAACAAGGACATTTAAAACTTTTCAAATTTAAAACCAGGACATTTAAAAATTGACAAATCTTAAAACCAGGACAATTAAGACTTTTCAAGTTTAAAACCAGGAAATTTTTGTTTAAAATTTCTAATTTAAAACAAGGACTTTTAAAAATTGTCTAATTTAAAAACAGGACATTTAAGATCATTTTGCGCCATCACCACCATGGGTGTCTTAAAAAACAGCAGCAAAAAAAAACAAAAAAAAACAACAACATCTGACTGTGAGTGCACGTAGAGTCCTTTGTCAGTGAGGTGTTCTTTTGAAGGAAAAAAAAAATCATTGTGATGCCAATGTCCAAAAGCTAATACACCTGGTAAAAACAGTACGACTGGTCACCTGAGCCATCAGTAAACCGCCACTGTCCGCAGAGTGTCCAGCCCGTTAGCCATCGCCCTTAAAAAAACAAGATCGTCATCTTCCGAAGTATCAGGAATCCTAATTTGCGCGCGATTGGTCTCACAATTAATTGAAATTGAACCATGCTTTCTTTCAAACCATGAGACTTACATGTAATATAAAACATGTTGAGTCAGAATGGGAGGAAAGTGGGGGGGGGGGGGGGGTGCGGCGGTTGGGAATAGGAAGAAGTCGGTCATGGAAACAGTCACACCACAAGCAAAATATTTATAAATTATAATAAATAGAAGTATTAAGAGATGAGCTGCATGAGTCTGTTGTACCGGTACCGAGCTGAAATCCAAGTTTACCCACGCACGTCCTTTTATCGTCACAACCATGTCCCTCCATTTCTTTTTTGTCAAAGGCTTAGGGAGAAGGGGAAGGCCCTGGTGACAGTTTATATAATATAAAGGACACGGTTTGTTGGGGGGAGGGGAGAGGGGTCACTTCCGATTCATTACATCTTAATTACGTTTCTATTTCGGAATCAAAATCCGTTTTTAGACCAACAGGGTTTGTCCCAGAAACTAATTTATTCTCGGGCGAATTGGGGACATTTTGACCGTCGAAGAGGGCGACAAGCGGTAGGCCTATGTGTTCTGGTTTAGCTATTGGTGGAACGGTACAGCTGAAACCAGTGAACAGTTTAGACACGGTGGTGGGTGAATGCGTAGTTCTAATACAATTTCAAAACAAAACTTTCCCTAGCACTACATTAAAATAAAAACTCTTCCAAGAGCAGTGATCCACAAACGACTTGGTCGTACGACCCTTTGTTCAATATGCATATAGATTAGCAGATTGAATCACTCCCCCCCCCCCCGGAAAATTTTTTGAAATAATCA